ATATATATATATATATATATATATATATATATATATATATAAAATATCTCCAAAGACACATGTACACTTAATCAAACAACTCTCTGAGGAAAGCTCCAAGTCTCCCAGCAGAGTGGTAGGGGGCGTGGAGCACCATTCTATTTCCAGTCTGGATCTGGTCTGGGTAGATAAAGTCATTTGCCATCTGGTAGACTCTGTGAAATGAAACTGTGAGCTGATTCCCATTTCCAGTGGACAGGAGCCCTTATCACAGAAGGCCCATTTGTCACCTGGACTGCCCTTTTCAGAGGTGGCTTAGGAAAGGGCAGTGATCAATGGGGTCTGAAGCTCAGCTGCTCCCTCCTTGCTTCAGTAGTAGCTCCCAGGAACAGATTTTATACACACCTGTAACATGCCTCTTGCTCCTTTCTTTGCTTCTTTTTTCCCATAAGTCCTCGGTTATTCAAGCAAAGCAAACTGCTCAGAAATAAGAGTGCTATAGCTACTCATTGGTAGATGCCCAGTTGAATAAGACAAATCAATGCAAGAGTTGAAAAATAATTCAAAACCAGAAAAAAAATGTCACATGCCATATAACTTACTTTGAAATTATGGCATAAGTGCTCTTCCTTTAGAAAAGCATGTAAATTCTCAAATGCAAGTTTAAACCATTTATTGAACTCTATTTTTAGTATTAAAGTCATCCAATGAATTATAAATAATTTGGATCTTGAGTAAATTCAAAGCGAGCTAATTTTCAGTGCCCAGGGATTACGAAGTATAATGGGCTAATGATAATGAAACCTGTTTTCACAAAGCATCAACCAAAAGGAATCATGAAATGAACTAATTTTTTCATGGGTGAGGAGCTGTGATAATGTGGTTGTTTTTAATGGGAGAATTGTTTATATAACATTCATTAAAATACTTAATCTTCCTTAATTATATGAGAGCCAGGAGTATTTTATCCAGCTTCTCACAGGAGGAGTCTCAAGACACCTCCATGTCAAATCCCAAGCCGTACCTTGGGGATGAGTCTGACCTGGCTCCCTCTCAGGATTGAGGTATTCTGGCCTCCTTGCTGATCCTTGAACACTCATTCTGCCTCAGGACCTTTGCACTTGCTCTTTCCTTTCTCTCTGTAAAGCTCTTGCCCAAGATCTTTGGTGTGGTGGTTTCTTCTGTTCATTCAGCCCTCAGATCAGATGTCATCTTCTTGTGACTCCCTCCTCAACAGTCTCTAAATAGCCCCCTCCTCAACAGTCAT